TTCTCACTGCCAGCCTGCACCCCTCTCCCATGTGCTCCAAGCTCCTTCCCCGCTGGCCCATGGCTTGTGGGTTGCTCCATAGAGACCAAAAAAATCAGTGCGTCATCTGCTGCACCTCCCCAGGCTCTGGGGTACGTATGGGCTTAGTAACACAATGGCCATCAACCCAAACTCCCTCTCTGAGGCCGTGTTGGAGGTCACCCGGCACTTGGCCACATCTGTCTGTCCCAAGAGTGTTTTTGTGGTCACCAACACATGAGTTTTATCTGCTCGTGGCGAGCAGGACTGGCCAGAGCAGCAGTCTGCCCGCTGCTGCCTGTGCAAGGCGATGGGATCCTCCCCATCAGCAGAGCTTTCCTGCACTGCTTGTGCTCTCCAGCAGAGCTCTTGTATTTAAAGATGAAAAAATTACCTGAGATGGATAACATTATTAACTTAGAGGCTGCACAGAAAGCTGCTGTCAGACCGAGGACTCATTTTCAGGTATGTGCCACCACCACCTCGTTGACTCTCCTGACATTTCTGCCCCTCCTTGCATTCCCACTAGGTATTTTTTTCCACCGTTGCCAATGTGGAGAAAAACATTTCAAAGTCCATTCCTCTGTCACGCTCCCTCCAAGGAGCTCCGATCCCATTTCAAGTTTTCCACAGCTGAACTCTCCCTTTCCTGAACCTCCTTAATCACTTCTTCATCCAGTTCCATCTTGAATAAATTAACTGCAAGTGAATTTGCCTTGCAGGAGATTAAGTGTCCCATTGATTGAAAAATCCTGTGAAAAGCGTAGTTGCTTCTCCGTTCCTCCCTAATCCCTGCATTCCTGGATCACCAGCTAGACATACCTTCCTTTCCTGATTTCTTTCCATTTAATCAAAATATCTTAAGGCTCAAAATGAGCTTTGCAATCTCTCTGCAATGCACCCAGGGAGCCTACTGTGCCCAGGAGGGTTATTGCCCTAAAAAGCCAGGAATCTGTTGGATGCTAAAAGGCTGAGAGGTCTCTGGAGGACTCTTATGTTGGGGTGGGGGACCATCGTGCATATAGGGTGAGGGGCTGAGCTACCTCCAGGCAAAGGTGCTGGTTAATACAGCCCTGGCAGGGGCAAGTGTAGGTAAAAACCATCAGCACTTTAGGGGCAATAGGCAGAAATCAATAATTATGCAATAGGGACTAATAAATAAGACAAATAGGGGCTAAAGAAATTAAGCAGAACCAGGATTGAGATGGGACATCAGGAAGGAATTCTTCCCGCAGAGGGTGGGAGCACTGGGACAGGTTGCCCAGAGAAGCTGTGGATGCCCCATCCCTGGGAGTGTCCAAGGCCAGACTGGATGAGGCTTGGAGCACCCTGGGCTATGGAAGGTGTCCCTGCCCATGGCAGGGGGTGGCGCTGGGGGGCTTTAAGGTCCCTTCCATCCCAAACCCTTCCATGATTCTATGATCCCTTTGGCTCAGCACAGCAGCCGGTAGGTACATCCAAACGTCCATGAATGTTTAGGCGCTGAACTCTGCGACAGATTTCACATGGAAATGTTGGCTGCTTCATCACATAATGCCTTCAAATCAGGGACGGATGTTTTTCCAGGAGGCGTGCTCCAGCCAAACATAATTTATTGGTTCAGTACCGAGATTACTGGCAGGAATTAATGCCTGTGACACAGGGAATTTCACCAGATAGTGTTTTGACTAAGGGAAAAAGGAATACCCCAATAATTCGGTCGGTACCGAGCCGCTGTGACTCTGGTTTAGACACCGAAGCGCGGCAGTGTTTCACGTTTTATGTCGCCTGGTCGTGCCGCGCACACCGCTCATGTAACGAAATCATTTAAAACACCACAGACAAATGCATATTGAGCTTGACACATCATTTTTGATGTGAGACTTGCCCAGCCTGCAGTGATGGACACAGCCATCCCGTCCCCAGCCCAGGCAGGGCACTGGGGAGTGGGATTGAGCATGGTGCTTTGCTTGCAAAGCAGAAATTGAGTTTACACCAACAGCCTGGTTTTCCTTGGGTTTTGTTTTTTTTTTTTCCCCCAGGATAAAAGTTAAAAATATGTCCTCAGACATGTTGCTCTGAGCAGTCTGAGCTTTTCACATTTAATCCCTATTTTTTTTTGCCTTTGTTTTCCCCATAAGGAGCACATGAAAAGGAAGGCGAGGGCAGGCTTGTTTGGTTCTTATTTTCTTTTAAAGCTTCATTTATTAGCCAAGCCATGACGCAAGGGCCTGCTGCTTCGCTTGTTTAGCATCATGCCGGGGCTGGGGGGGTGGATTTCACCCCTCCAGGGAGCAGAAGTGAAGGAGATTTGGGGTGAATGACGCAAGGGCCTGCTGCTTCGCTCGTTTAGCATCATGCCGGGCTGGGGGGGTGGATTGCACCCCCCCAGGGAGCAGAAATGAAGGAGATTTGGGGTGTCCCAAGGGTGTGTGAGGAGGAGGAAAGCCGTGATGGAGCAGGGGATGGCTCCCTGATGCTTCAGTTGGATTTGGGTGATTTTGGATGGGACTTTTTTGGGGAGGATTTTAAGAAAAAAAGACATTTGGAGCACAGGTTTACAAACCACAAAGTGAAGAGGTTTGTAAGCAACCTGTGAGCTGAGCAATGGCTCTGACAGCCGACTTCAGGGAACACTTACAGCATCCCTGCACCTTTCAAACAGCTGGAAAAGGCTTTTCCCCAGCTGCCAAGTTTCCATGAGAATTTGACAGCTTCAGCTAATTAATCATTTAAATTTAACCAAAAAGGGAAAACAATGCCATTGTCTTTGGGAGACAAAAATTCTGTTTTCATGAGCTTCACAACCTCTCTGCATTCATGGCAGGGTCTGTGAATATTTGGGCTTTCTTTGAGCTTCCAGCCCTGACGTAGGGCTGGGGAAGTGGGGGAATGGGTGGTTTGCCCTCGTCATCCTCTCGCGTTTGGAAGAGATGCGTCGGCCTAATAAGTGCTGGTGTCCAGGAATATTTATTAATGGGTAGCGTGATAATATCTGTGAAAATTAATGGGAATATATGTGAATATTAATTAATGGAAAAGTGCCAGATAGGATTTCCTGAGGATGGTGAGGGGCACATCAAGGAGGAGCTGCTCTGAGTTCATGTTAAATCCCATTTATGTTAAATTCTTCTTTGGGAATGAAGATTTTAAAAATGAGATCATAATCTTCTGAGGTGTCTCAATTTTTGTTTCTTTTCATCTTCAAGGTCTTTTTTTCCTCCCCGCATCCTTTTGCTACATTTCACAGCTTCCACCTACCCCCCCGTCTCTGACCACGAGCAAACAGGCATCGATAGTGCAGCAAAGGCAGAGGGACAGGAATAAACTTCTTGTACAGGTCAGGGAGAAGGTACCAGACTTCCCTGAGCTTCTGGATGTTATTGAGGAGGACTCCAGATGGTTATAATTTTCCCCTAATTAATCTCCTCGTTAGCAATGAAGCTCTAAGACAGGAAGTATTTCCATGAGAATCCTTAAACGCTTCTTAGATTTTTTTGAGCTTTTAATTTGGTAAGCAATTCTTTATAGCGATGGAATAAAACAATGAGTGTTTAGTGTCTTTGTAGAAGGAGCATTTTTTTAAAAATGACCGTTTCTGGTCTAACTGGGACCATCTGTGCCGGGGACGGTCGCTTTGCCAGCTGCTGGGTAGGGTGGCACGGAACAAAAGAGGTCCTGTTTATCTGGCGATCCGGACTTGGATGGTTACATCCACCGATAGGATTTTGAAAAGCAACGGAGCAGATTTATTTTGGGGCTAACACACTGGGAGCAGAAGATTCCAGTAACCTGTGGTTTGGGGTATTTTTGAACTAGCCTGGAAGGAATGGCCAAATTCCTCAGGTCCTGTTCTCCTCCTCCTTTGGTTTACTGTTTTGTACTATTCTGGTCAAGTCCACAAGAAAAAGGGGGAAAAATGCTTGCAATGTCCCAGATACATCCCAACTGGTGGCCTGCACCCTTGGTGGGTGCATGAGTGTTTAGCAGCTCCTCTTGTTTTTAAGAACAGATAAATGCCCAACATCCTCACCTGCCACTGGGGATCCAGATGTGCAGCTCCGGGCTGCTCCTAAGTGAACAACCCCAGGTTGGAGTAAAACTCCTGGAAATTTACTTTTTCAGCTTTTTAGTGGAGAAAACTCCCTGTGGATCGCCACTACTGCTACACCAGCTGCTGTAGGTATCATTAGGCAGGACTCTTCTGCGCACATCCGTGTCCTGAAGACGCTCCTGGCATGACAAGATTCCTACCTGAAATAGGAGAGAGAAGGGACATCTCCACCCTCCCCTTCCCAGGGCCAGCCGTGCCCACCATGGGATGACAAAGGTTTTGGTGCCGGCGCCGGCCATGAAATGAGGTGGTCATGGGGGTCCCCCATTCCTCCCCACACCATCAGATGGTTTTGCAGACCTCGTTCGCTGCCAGACATTTGTTCGCCCCGGTCGCATCGGCTGGGCCTTAATTCCAAGCAGAAGTGAGTCATCGTCCCCAGCTTACTGCTGCCTGCTGTCCCGGGAAGGGGAAGCCGAAACAGTGGTTTTGCTGCTTGCACTGAGTCAAGTCGGGGGAATGACGGCGTGTGCCCAGCAAGGGACCCTCTCCTGACATCTCCCAAACCACGAGCTGGGGGCTTGGGAATCCTTTTTCCCGGGGGGATTTAAAAGGGCCTGTAGTGACAGGACAAGGAGTAATGGGTTTAAATTGAAAGCAGATAAATTTATATTAGATAGCAGGAAAAAAATCTTCCTGCAGAGGGTGGGGAGCACGGGGACAGGTTGCCCAGGGAAGCTGTGGATGCCCCATCCCTGGAAGTGTCCAAGGCCAGGCTGGCTGAGGCTTGGAGCAACCTGGTCTAGTGGAAGGTGTCCCTGCCCACGGCACGGGGTGGGACTGGGGGGGGGTTTAAAGTCCCTTCCCACCCAAACCAGTCTGTGATTCCTCTCTGAACGGTAACCTCCTGTCCCATCTCTAGGCACTGACCGACCTCTCTTTCCCACAGGCTGGTGGTGGGAGCTCCCTACGAAACCAACGGGCAGCAGAAGACGGGAGATGTCTACAAGTGCCCGGTGACCAGCGACACCCACAGCAACTGCACTAAACTCAACCTAGGTACCACGCACCCCGGGGCAGCGGGTGGGAGCTGGGTGTTTTAACCTGGTGCTTTCCGTCACTGCTTTGGTCTGTAAGGATGCGCCCTGATGTGTTGCCCAGATTGTCCCCGAAAGCATAAGGACTGCATGTTTTGGGAGGATTTTTAGATAAGGAACTATTTCAGGTGATCACATCACTCCTGGTACTGAGCTACAAGCGACGTCAGGGTAAAATCAAGCAAATTGGGATAAAGTAAAAAAGTTATTTAATATAGCTTAAACTGCTTCATTTACTAAACCATCAGGATAAAATTATCAGTGGGTCCCACTAGCTAATACCTGACTGCACATGGTGTCTGTATTCCCTCTCTGGGGGATGCTCAGATGATGTGCCCAGGTTCCCCGGGTGCAGGCAGGTTTTGCTCCCAACATCCAGCCTGCCCCCGCGGCTTTGGCATTTGGGGAATTATCATCCACCACCCCTATGCCTCACCACTGCCATCCCAGGAGGAGGGACCCCAGGGTTGCTCCGGTCCCACAGACATCCCGATCACATCTCCCTTGATGGAGAAAGCAAGATGTTCCTTGGGGTTTCTCGGGCTGGTCCAGCACCAACCGTGCCAACAGCACAATATCGCGACATCGGGAGCTGTCCTCCTCGGGTTGGGACAGTGCAAGGCATGAGGGGACAAGTCCCCTTTGCTGCCCGAGTGGGACAGCCGACGGACACGTCCCTGTCTCAGCAGGGAACATGAGAGACGGGGATTTTCTCATGGTCTTGAGGAGCGCTGCTGGCATTTGGGGGCAAAGCCTGGGAATTTTTACCACTGAGCAGTTCTCACTTCATTTTTCATCATTATCAGTCTGAACTATCCTGGGTTTCTACCAGAGCTGATAAGAGAGGAGGAACTTTGGATCATCTGCAATATTTGATTGATTGGCCACAAGTACTTACACATTGTTTTATTTTTTATCTTTTTTTTATTTTCCTATGGGATCACTGAGATTCTTCAACAAAACAAATCTCCTCTGCATGTAAATTTGAATCTTGCTGAAAACCAATCCTTTTTCCCATTGGAAATGAGTTTCAGATGAAAAGCTCAGTTCCATGAACACATCCTATTTTATTTTTTCCTCAATTAACTTGTCTAGTTAGCACAGTCCACTGAGGCCATTTGAGTAAAACCAGATGCAGAGCTGCCCTGGGGGGGCATCAAGCTGACAGCCAGCGTGCAGCAGCGTTGACCGTAGCATGGGGAAACACAAGCTGATGTGGGACCGGAGTTCAACCCTTTCCCTTCCCACGCCGAGTGGGTGGTGGATGCCCAAGGTGGCGGGAGCATCCCACTCACCACCACAGAGCTGCAGTCGAAAGGTGTGGTGTGCCTGGGTCCCAGAGCAGAGCGGGGTGTCAGCATCTTCCCGAGAGGGTGGGAGGCCCTGGGACAGGTTCCCAGAGAAGCTGTGGATGCCCCATCCCTGGAAGTGTCCAAGGCCAGGCTGGATGAGGCTTGGAGCAACCTGGTCTAGTGGAAGGTGTCCCTGCCCATGGCAGGGGGTGGGGCTGGGGGGGCTTTAAGGTCCCTTCCCACCCAAACCACTCTGTGATTCTGTGACATGAGCTGGGTGCCCAGCATCCCCCCACTGCCATCCCTAACCGCCTCATCTCTCCAAAGGACGGGTAACGCTCTCCAACGTCTCCGAGCGGAAGGACAACATGCGCCTCGGCCTCAGCCTGGCTACCAACCCCAAGGACAACAGCTTTCTGGTGAGGAACAGGGGCTTTGGCACCGCCTGGCCCCCCTGAGTCGGGAGGTCTCTGCAGGGTGCGTGTATGTCCGGCGTGTAAAGGTGTGCAAACCCAGACACATGTACACAAGCATGTAAGGGCATGCAAAACCAACTCTCCGTGTACTTATATACATGCTGCGTGCACCACGGGGCTCAGAAACCTCACCTTCCACGGGGAAAAGGTGCCAAAGGAGAGGACAGCCTCGCAAAGCAGCGGTTAAAAAGCAGCAGCTCTAAGCCCACCCCTGATGCTCGTTTTTCCCCCCCCAGGCCTGCAGCCCTCTCTGGTCCCACGAGTGCGGGAGCTCCTACTACACCACGGGCATGTGCTCCCGAGTCAACTCCAACTTCAGGTTCTCCAAGACGGTGGCTCCGGCTCTGCAGAGTATGGGAAACAATCTGCCCCGCAGCTCTAACCCCGCCTTTGAAGTCAGAGGGAATCTCTGTTCTCTAATCGCTTCAGTCCCATTGAGAAAACAAAGCGATGTCAGTGTTTGAGCGAAGGCGAGAGAGCAGAGGAAATGATTGCAGGGAAGTGATTCAAAGGGGGTTACGCACACCGACATCTGGTAAACATTTTCCTTTTGACTGACACCTGGGGAAGACAAAAAATACCTTATTCTTCCAAAACCAGAAGTAAAAGTATCCAGAATATTTTATCAGCAGAGCTAGGAAGGCAAAATAAGGAAAGAATTCAGACCTTGGCCACACAAAACAAAGAGCTCATTGACTGAAAGCTAAATATTTTGGCCCAAACTTGCAAGTTTGGATGCGTGATTTCATTTTGAGGTATTAAATAAGCTTCCTGGCTTTCTTGTAGGTGGTAAGAAATCACAGAAACCTGTCCTGCACCTCCCAGAAGATCCTTGCCCCAGCTGGGCACAGGGTGTGATGCCCCAGCACACGTTTGGTGTCAATTAATTCAAGGAATAGAGCAGAGCATGGGAACAAGGGGACTTTGGGGGGCAGAGGCAGCACAGGCAGAGCCCACCACCGAATTCTCAGTGTTGCTACCCCCTTTATGGCTGGGAGATGCCTTAGCCCTCGCTGCAAAGGGGAATTGGTTTTTTGAGAGGTTGTTAGTGAGCAGAGCATTGGGATGCGGAGGGTCGTCTCCTCTCCCAGGGGATCGAGATGGTGGCACGCAGCTGAGGACCACGGTGACGGAGTGACCCATGTGTGACTCCAGTCCATGGATGTGCTAACCCATAAATGCCTAAAATAGGTGAAAGGGCAACTGATAAATATCTGTCACTGGAAAATTCAGTGTTTTCTGGTCTTCTGCAAGTTTTCTAAATAGTGTTAGAAAATATAAACAAGATAGAGAAGATGCTGAGCAATTTTCCCTGTTGAAAACCGGTCAGCTGCCTAAATCCTTCGTGGCTCATACTGCAGAGCTGAGTGCTGGGGTCCTCGCTGGGGTTTTTGGCTGCCTCGTTGCAGAGGGTTTAACGGGAAGGGGAGGAAATGCCCGACTTGCATTATACGGCGAGTACAGGCAGGGCTGAGGAGTGACTCAGGGGTAAAGCATTGCTCTGCGGGAGGAACGGGGGCCGGATCCTGCCTGCAGCAGGCCACCCTTTGAAGTATGCAACTATATTAGACCGGATAAAAGTCCAAATCTGAATCAGAAAAGATACTGTTGAGTGTTATTCTTAGAAAGTTATCTGGTCTTTTCTCGGCAGAGAGGATGCTTGTGGCTTCTCACTACCTTGTTGACGCCCAAAGGTCTTTATGAATGATTGAAATAAGATTTTCTTTTTTTTTTTTTCAAACTAACCCATAAGAGCAAGTACCTGACTGTGAGGAATGAAGCCGTAAATCTCCCCTTTGCAAGCATTGCCAAGGTCTTTCACTAACACACTGCGTATTTTTCACAGGATGCCAGACGTACATGGACATAATCATAGTTCTGGATGGATCAAACAGCATATATCCTTGGGTTGAAGTTCAGCACTTCCTGATAAACATCTTGAAAAAATTTTATATTGGCCCCGGCCAGATACAAGTAAGGCCCAGCACAGCTTTTGCGTCCCCCCCATGTCGTGCAGAGCCCCGTGGCCACGCTCACGGGGCTGTTTTCTACGTTCTTTTTCTGTTGAGACACCATAATTTGGCACCACGCTTTTTCGAAATAAACTCCCAATGTATGGATTTTACAGGTGAGCCCGTGGGAATAAGGCTCACATTGATGTCCCTAAATGAGCTGTGGGGAGAGCAGCACCCCACACCCTGAGCGGGCATGGGGAGGATGAAATCATACGGAAATACAGCTGGAAGAGCTCTCCATCCTCTTCCTATCAGTAATCGTGGGCTGATTTGGGAAGGGGCTTGGGAAGGGATATCCTTAACAATTTTCACAGATAACCCCCATTGGGTCCCATCTGCATCACCCCAAACCTTTAAAGCTGGGGCAGCCGCATGTGGGTGAGAGCTGTCAGAGAATAGGAATAAAACTGAGCATTATCAGTGGTCCCATAGAGGGAAAACTGGAGCAAATCGGGACAGAGCGATTGATTATTAACGCTGACTGTTATTTCGTGTGATGGGCAAAATATGCTCGTTGTGTCGCAGGTCCTCGCTACGCGGCGGAATGTTGGCGCCCTATGTGACATTCCTTTAATCCCTAGGTCGGAGTTGTTCAGTACGGAGAAGATGTCGTCCATGAGTTTCATTTAAATGACTACAGGTCTGTAAAAGATGTGGTAGCGGCTGCCAGTCACATAGAGCAAAGAGGAGGTACAGAAACCAGGACTGCCTATGGGATAGAGTTCGCTCGGTAAAAATCTCTCACCTTCCTGTTCCTCCTGACAAGAAGCTTAAAATCACTGTTTGTTTTTCTTCCCTCTCTCTCCCTTCACTTTTCCTCACTGCTTAGAAAGCAGGGGATACCGCTGAGCTAAAAATGCTTTTGCAAAACCGCTCGGTCCTTAATTGGTGCTTTACAAACGATGCTTTGCAAAAATGCTCCGTCCTCGGCTGCAGCTGGATGAGAAGGAGGGTGCAGGGGCAGCCTCTGGAAATGCATCTTCTTTTGGAAAGCACCCAGGGCTGAGCCTTCAGCCCCTAAATGCAACCCCACATCTGACCCAGGCATTTCAGCTCTTCTGCGGGTGCCTGTCAGGTACCCAGGAGCTCAGCACAGCCTCGACCTACAACTCCATCTCCCCCGTTATCTGGGAGAAGTGCCTGCTCCTGAAGTCCCTGCTCCTGTGCCCTTTTACAGCAGCCCAACCAATATTGCTGCTGCAGATTTAGGGCATTTGGCTGAATCTAAGGTTCCTCTCCTGCAAGAAGCCAGCTCCATGGGTGGAAAAATCCCCTTTTAAAATCCTAAAATGTTTCCGAAGAGTTCTACACCCCTATTGTGCCTCCTTAAGGGCTGACAGCCCACCAAAAATGATCAGAGGCTGGAGCACCTCTCCCGTGGGGACAGGCTGAGGGTTGGGGTTGTTCAGTCTGGAGAAGAGAAGGCTCCGGGGAGACCTTACTGCGAGGCCCTTCAGTACTTACAGGGGGCTTATAGGAAAGATGGGGACAGACTATTTAATGTGGCCTGTAGAGATAAGATAAGGGGTAATGGGTTTGATCTTAAAGAGGGGAGATTCAGACAAGATATAAGGAATTATTTATGATGAGGGTGGG